GCTAGTTGGTTATATACACATATCTGATATGATATCCCCACAACTCGGTATGTATGCACATTTCATAATGTCATTACATATAATAATCTTTACTCTTATAGTACGTATTTTTCAGTTAGAACCTTTGTTTTTAGATTCGTGTGTTGGTGAAGATAAAATTGGTAGATGCATCACAAGACAACAGTGCTGTGTTTGTAACGTTGCACATATTTTTTTTTCGCGGTTAGGAAAGCTTATGAGAGTTAACGTCAAATATTATAAAATCAATAAAGCTGTCTCACATGTGACCAAACTCTCGTTTCAACGGTTCATAATCACTTACATAGGATACTTGTAATATATATCAAATCAAGACTACAGTTTGCTTCTTAAGCGATATAAGATGTTTTCTTTTAATTTAAACATCAATGGTTTACGTTTTCATTGCATAAAACTTCAACCATTATACCACCGCAACACAAACACAAATAGATGATATAACTACATCAAAAATAATTGTTTGCTTCTTTAATTTTTTTTTTTTTTTAAATGGTGCTTCTATTTTGGGTCAATTGGTTGAATAACAAAAAAAAAATGTTATATAATAATCTAACTAAAATCTTTAAATTTAGTGATTAAGATTTGACTACATGAATATTTTTTTTTGTAGATTATTAGATATGTTTTTTTATAGTTATTCATGCCAATTTCCGTTCTATTTTTAGATGATGCATCTACTATTGCTTCTTTAATTTAAGCTATATGTATGAATTTTTTTGGGCAAGACTTCACACATGATTTTGTCTTAGTCATAGATCAATTTTCATTATAAAGAATTAAGTTATATTGCGGGTTGACTATTAATTCAAAGGTTCACCTGTATTTAATTGTAAAATCGTAATATCTAACCATTTGAAGGGTTTATTTGCAAAAACCATGATTTAATTTTCAGTCTTCAACTCTTAACCATCGGATGCTGCTTAGCTTAGCTTAGCTCATCGACAGTCTCTACGGCCAAACTCCAGACGTAAATACCCATCTCTTAAAGCTATCGAATAGGCAAAATATAGGGGTAATTCAGTAATTTAAACAATCTGAAATTATCTTTTGTCGCCTTATAAAAAACCCATACTTTCCCTCCTCTCTCTCTGCCCTCACCTCTTTCCTTACCCTATAAAAACCTTCTCTTCTGCCTCTTCCATTTTCCCAAGAAACACAAAAATCTTCTCTTTTCTCTTTCTATCAAAATCTAAACCTTCTTCTTCTTCTCGAACCCACCTCGTAATCATCGATTACAAAACAATTCCCAGTTGTTGTTACGATGATTTCTTCAACTAAACCGGTTTCATCTTCCTTAACCGCAATCGCCGGCGTAAGACGATCATTTCCGACAAAGCTCCGGTTTTCTCCCTTACCCATGATCGGAAACTTCGAAAAGTCTAATCCTTTCACTACACTTCGAGCTTTGTCTGCACATAATTTGTCGAATTTCTCTGTGGCGGCGGCGGCGCAGCAGAGGCGCGATGTATTTAGGGTTGGAGCTTACGAGGCCGACCGATCTCGTCCGATTGAAATCGGTGTGGAGATTCCTGACGAACAATCCGGGCAAAAAGTGAAGATTGGGATTTACTTTGCGACTTGGTGGGCATTGAATGTTGTGTTCAATATCTACAACAAGAAGGTTTTGAATGCTTTTCCTTACCCGTGGCTTACTTCGACGCTTTCTCTCGCTTGTGGTTCTTTGATGATGCTCGTCTCTTGGGTCACTAGAGTCGCCGATGCTCCTCAAACCGATCTCGATTTCTGGAAAACTCTCTTCCCGGTAAAGGATTTAGCTTTCATTAGTGTTTGTTGCTTCGATGTTTGATCTCGCAAATGTTTGCTCGTCTGATTAGTTCTTTACTTTGAGATAAAAGAGTAGAATTTTGGAATTTGGAAGCTGAATTTGTGCAGGAATCTTGAGATTTAACAATTTATGGATTATGAGTGTAGTTATTGATGGGACTGTGATGGTGGTTTTGATTGTTTAGGTGGCGGTGGCGCATACGATCGGACATGTAGCGGCGACAGTGAGTATGTCCAAAGTGGCTTTGTCCTTCACACACATCATCAAGAGCGGTGAACCAGCCTTTAGTGTCCTTGTATCGAGGCTCTTCTTAGGCGACACATTCCCTCTACCTGTTTACCTCTCCCTCTTACCCATTATTGGAGGTTGCGCCCTCGCTGCTGTCACCGAGCTCAACTTCAATATGATTGGTAAAAAATCCATTACTTGCCTTAAAATGGTTGTGGTGTATTACATTGTATGGAAAATATAGCTAAATGGGTTTATTGTTTTGATATTTGTTTATGTGTGTTTGGATTACAGGGTTTATGGGGGCGATGATATCGAATTTGGCGTTTGTCTTTCGGAACATATTCTCAAAGAAGGGGATGAAGGGGAAGTCAGTGAGTGGGATGAATTACTACGCTTGCTTATCTATGATGTCTCTTCTCATCCTCACTCCTTTCGCCATTGCCGTGGAAGGTCCCCAAATGTGGGCTGCTGGTTGGCAAAACGCTGTCTCTGAAATCGGACCAAACTTCGTCTGGTAATTTGAACCAAACTATAATGATCCAATTGTCTAATACAAAGTGATTTGATAAGGTTTTTTAAGGAATTTGATTTGAAGCCTTGTAAGGTATTTGATTATGATGTTTGAATTCAGGTGGGTAGTGTCTCAGAGTGTGTTCTATCATTTGTATAATCAAGTCTCATACATGTCCCTCGACCAGATTTCGCCATTGACATTTAGCGTTGGAAACACGATGAAGCGAATCTCAGTCATCGTCGCCTCAATCATCATATTCCAGACCCCACTTAAACCCGTTAATGCCCTCGGTGCTGCCATTGCGATTCTCGGAACTTTCATCTATTCTCAGGTAAAAAAAAAGAGTGAACATCTTTACATAGTCTTCAAAGCGCTTTCTTTGTTATTTGACTTTTGGTGACCTTATTTGTGTGCTCTGAGACAAAGAGCAAGAGAAGTAAGACAAACGCACAACAGTTGTATCGCATTTAGTGACCCCTGATCAAGATTAACAAAATCTAACTCTACGAATAGACCAATGTTGTATCGCATTTTGGAATTGATCTTGAACTTAAAGCTCTTTGTTTCGTGTGAGAGTTTTGGTTGATGATTTTGTTTTGTTGTCTCTGAATCTTTGAGCAGGCGAAGCAGTGAGGAAGTTGTACGAGAAGCAATTTTCACAGGGGAGTTTGATGCACTAAGATACTGAGAGCAGAGGACAGAAGAAATTTCCTGTGAAGATCTCAGGAGGCTTATGTAATCGTTGTAAGATCAACGGCTTAAAATCTTGGCCTATGATATCTATAATTTATTTAGTTCAACTGGTTGAATAATCTGAAGTTTATACAAATTTACTAAATATATAATATTTTCCCTTTTTTGGAAATTTTGTTATAAGCTCTTATACTTATCCTTATCATTTGACCCAAAAAAAAAAATATACTTATCCTTATCCATGTTCACAGAAATTTACAATGTTCATACAACTTCTTTTAGTGCTCGATTTGTTGTTGAATAGTTTGGCTATCAATTTTTCGGGTTAGCGAAGTTATGTTTCCTTCAGAACTACACCTATCATATTTCATTATTTCACCAATTCTTCAGTACACGAAGTTTCTAAATTATTATTTTTTTTTTGTTATTTCACAAATTAACCCTTTTTAAAATTACATCAATTGATAGATATTTTATATCTAATTCCAAAAAAAAAAGAGTCTTAAATCTAGAACTACCACCTTGATTTTGAAATTCAAAATTTAAAATCAATCATAAACCACATATATGTCCAACCCTAAACTGAAATTCGACTCTGTCCTCCTAATTTCATCACATTAGTTGATATCTTACATAAATTCGATCTTTCATCATAGTAACGAACTATCACATGAGTCTATCGTTTATTATAATTTTTTTGCCGATAGTGACTTGTTTATATAATCTATGGTGGGTTATTAGACAGTAACATTACATCGAAATTGTGTACTGTCACTCTAAGTCTAGCTATAACCTTTGAGATTTATTTGTTATGTAATTTATAGTGAATGTCGTTTTGTATAACAATAAAAGTAGGTGAATAGGCCTTATCGGTTTTGAATCATTGTAAATTTTGGAATGTATCCAACGCCACGTAGATACGGACTACTAACATTAACTTTGATATATTATAAGCATTATCTAAAAGAAATGTACAATATAGAAATGAGATTGAACTTGCTC